GAATCTGATAATATCTAGCAACTGTTCATAATTTTCTTTTCATAAATCTCAAAGTCAGACAGGAATCCAAAACTTAATATGACCATGGGTCATTTGTTACACATTCCATTCATGTATTATTACATCATGGTGAGAGCATGCCTCAGCACTTGTGCCTAGCTTAGCTAGTGTATACTTGAATGTGGCATGTGTATACTTTAGTATTGTTCTTGCTAGACAGAAGCAGACCTGAATTATTAAAAAGTGCCCAGTGTGGACCTAAATCTTCCTAAACATGTTTATTGGAGGCCCAAATTTATGCCCAAATATGACAGGAAAAGCTTTCTTACATGGGCTGCATGAAATATGAATAACCTTGGCAGCACAGGTTAACTCATTGGGGGTTTCTTCCTTACCCACCCCAACCTCTCTACAAATTCTTCTCTTTTTTCCCTTCTGTTTCCCCAGTTTTAGAGCAAAAGTGAAAGAGTTTTGCTTTATCACTTAAGTGAAGGTGAAATAAAATATTGTTTTCTTCAAGGATCCCCAGCCTTTCTGGGGAGGAGCCACTATTACTCTTGGGAAGTAGGAGGAGAATATTCAGATTATGAAGTCCATAGAATGGATGAGTGAAGATGATGCTGGACTCACTCATCTTTACAGAATAATCCCATAAGGCTCTGGCAAGCTGTAGGAGACAGGTGGTCACCAAGGAAATGGTGTGGTGCAGAAACAGATTTGGAGATCTGCTGGGATGTGTCTGTCTGTGCTTCTAGGTTTATTGGAGAATAGGAGGTGTGTTTTTTCTCGTCTGCATTAAAGAAGAAAGAATGAGGTTTATTGATTTTTAGGAATGTATTCTTTTTTTTTTAGAATGTATTCTTATTAAAAATTTTTTTAATGTTTATTTTTAAGAGAGAGAGAGAGAGAGAGTGTGTGTGTGTGTGCACAGGCAGAGGAAGGGCAGAGAGGGTGGGGAAGACACACAATCTGAAGCAGGCTCCAGGCTCTGAGCTGTCAGCACAGAGCCGGACATGGGGCTTGAACTCACGAACTGCGAGATCATGACCTGAGCTGAAGTCGGACGCTTAACCGACTGAGCCCCACCCAGGCACCCCTAAAACAATTTTTTTAATGTTTTTATTCGTTTTAGAGAGAGAGAGAGAGAGCATGAGCAAGGGAGGGAGAGAAAGGGAGGGAGACACAGAATCTGAAGCAGGCTCCAGGCTCTGAGCTATCAGCACAGAGCGTGACTGAGGCCCGAACTCAAGAACCTCGAGATCGTGACCTGAGCCGAAGTCGGCTACTCAACTGACTGAGCCACCCAGGTGCCCCTAGAATGCATTCTTCAGGTAGTGACCCAAGATTTTTTTCAGGTTGTCTAAAACTAGTTGCAGACCAAATGCGACCTTCTTCTTACTTTTCAAAGAAATGTTTTATTATTATTTTGTTTTATTTTTTCTTAGTAAGTTCTACACCCAAAGTGGGGCTTGGACTCACAACCCCGAAATCAAGAGTTGCATGCTTTGCCATCTGAGCCAGCCAGGTGCCCCATTATGTGTCACTTTTTATAAACTTTTTTTTTTTTTAATTTTGTTAATGTTTATTTGTGTTTTGAGATAGCGACAGAGTGCAAGCAGGGGAGAGGCAGAGATAGAGGGAGACCCAGAATCCAAAGCAGGCTCCAGGCCCTGAGCTGTCAGCAGAGAGCCTGATGTGGGGCTCACGAACTGTGAGATCATGACCTGAACTGAAGTCAGAGGCTTAAACCAACTGAACCACCATGTGCCCCTGTAAGCTTTAAAAACAGAAAATAATAGTTGGATTCAGGGCCTCTATAAAAGTAAAGATTCATTTATAGCCTAAATTAAAGCAGTTATGTAATGATAGTGAACAAACATTAAATGGCTTGATTCAGGTTATTTATAAATGCTAAAGATTTTTGAACATTTTTAAGCTTAGTGATATTACACAAGGTAGCAATTACAGGAAAAATGATCTCTTAGATCTAGGTTTTAAATATATATCATTACATAATGGGTCTCTCTCCCATCTGATTGAAGTAAGCCTGTCTCTGGGATGGATGAAAGAACTGGACTAAAGAAACTTTTTTTTTTTTTAGGAAAATATTTTTAAGTAATCTTTACACCCAATGTGGAACTCAAACCCACAACCCTGAGATTAAGAGTTAAATGCTCCACTGACTGAGCCAGCCAGGCACCCCTAAGCCAAGAAACTTTTAAATTGTTATTTCTATTTTAACTGAGTCAAAATTTTTGGGTTAATATTTTATTTTTATTAATTTTACTTTGAAACTTTTTATTACCTCAAGGCACCTGGATGGCTCAGTCAGTTGAGCATCCAACTCTTGATTTTGGCTCAGATTGTGATCCCAGCGCTGTGGGATCGAGTCCCACGTCAGGCTCTGTGCTGAGTGTGGAGCCTGCTTGGAATTCTCTCTCCCTTTGCCCCTTTCCCCTGCTCACACTCTCTGTGTAAAATAAACAAAACAAAAAACACACTCTTTTTATTGCCTCAATAAATACATATTGTGTATTTTTCTTTTGGTTAGGTAAATAACCATTAGCAGTAGAACACAGGTCTGGAAATCAGGGAGCTCTTTCTTTTCTGTGTCATGGATTGGCTCTATGACATGGCAACTCATGTAACCACCCTAGACCTGTTTTTTTTTATCTGTATACTGTATCAATAGGCCCTTGCTGCCCAGTAAGGGAGTCACTAGGCACAGGTGGTACTAAGCCTTTGAAGGGTGGCTAGTCCAAACTGAGATGTGCTAGAAGTGTAAAATACACACTGGATTTTAAAGACTTAGCACAAAGATAAGAATGTAAAACTTGGGTACATTGGTTAAGCAAAAATATTATTAGAATTAATTTCACCCATTTCTTTTTCCCTTTATTTATTTATTTATTTTTTAAAATTTTTTTTTCAACGTTTTTTTTTAATTTATTTTTGGGACAGAGAGAGACAGAGCATGAACGGGGGAGGGGCAGAGAGAGAGGGAGACACAGAATCGGAAACAGGCTCCAGGCTCTGAGCCATCAGCCCAGAGCCCGACGCGGGGCTCGAACTCACGGACCGCGAGATGGTGACCTGGCTGAAGTCGGACGCTTAACCGACTGCGCCACCCAGGCGCCCCCCTTTTTTTTTTTTTAAAGTAATCTCTTTGAGCCCAATGTGGGGCTCAAACTCACGACCCCGGAATCAAGAGTTGCATGCTTTACTGACTGAGCCAGCTAGGCTCCCCTCTTTTTCATTTAAAAAAAAAAAATTTTTTTTAAGTTTATTTATTTTGAGAGAGTGAGTGAGCAGGGGAGGGGCAGAGAGAGAAGGAGAGAGAATCCCAAGCAGACTCCTCGCTTGCAGCACAGAGCCCGATGTGGGGCTTGAACTCACAAACCATGAGATCATGACCTGAGCCGAAACCAAGAGACTTGGCTGACGCTTAACCAACTGAGCCACCCAGGTGCCCCTCTTTTTCCTTTTTTTAAAGTGACTGCTAGAGAATTTTAAATTCCATACATGGCTCACATTATATATCTTTTGGACAGTGCTGATGTGGACAGCATTTCCTAAATCAATTCATGAAATATTAATAAATGCTCAATGAAACACAGTTTAGAAGGGGAACAGGGTCCAGTAGAACTTTTTGCAGTGATATAAATGTTCTGTATTTGCACTGTCCAATATTGTAGCTCTAAACTACTGACGGCTATTGAGCACTTGAAATGTGGCTAGTTCTGAAATTGAAAAATTGAAATGTGAAGAAAGGAACTGAATTTTGAATTAACTTTATTTTTTTATGTTTATTATCTTGAGAGGGAGGGAGGGACTGAGCGGTGGTGGGGAGGTGGGGGGAGGGTGGGCAAAGAGAGAGTGAGAGAGAACAAGAGGGGAAGGGGCAGAGAGAAGGAGAAACAGAATCCCAAGCAGGCTCTGCACCCTCAACACAGAGCCCTATGTGGGGCTTGAACCCACAAACTATGAGATCATGACCTGAGCCGAGATCAAGAGTTGGACACTTAACTGACTGAGCCACTGAGGCACCCCTAACTTTATTTTTTTAATTTTTAAAAGTTTACTTAACACCAAATAGCAACATATGGGTAGTTGCTAATGTATTGGGACAGTGCAGACCTGGAAGATTTATGGGATTGTTTTACTCAAAGACCTGTGTACATAGGACTTGTTTACCTGATTGCAAACTTGCTGTCTTAATATAAGTCTGTGTTTATTATGAATAATGATAAATGATCAATATTATTGAGTACCTGTTATGTAGCAGGCACGTTTAAGTAGCAGAAAGAGGATTTGTATGATAAATTGTTTATTGAGAGCTTAACTATATATATTGCTCATTTTTTTAAGTGTAAGAAATTTTTTATTTTATTATTTTTTGAGAGAGACATACACACAGAGTGTGAGTGGGGGAGGGGCAGAGAGAGACGGAGACAGAGAATGTGAAGCAGACTCCAGGCTTTGAGCTGTCAGCACAGAGCCCGGCGAGGGGCTCAAACCCACAAACTGTGAGATCATGACCTGAGCCGAGGTCAGATGCTTAACTGACTGAGCCACCCAGGTGCCTCTCATTTTGTAATATGGTGGCTGCATTGTGAATTCCAAGATGCTATTTGGGCTTTAACCATGTTGTCATCAGAGTCTGGTTTCTTTGCTTTCGTTATGAGTGCCCTTCATTGAAAGACTGGCCCCTTTTGAAAAGCCTGAGTAGTGTGCTGCCTTGTTAAAGGATTTTCTCTTGAAAGGCAAACCTACGCTTTCTAACAGATGATGATGACTTTTTTCCTTAAAGTGAACCTTTGAAGGTAGTTAATGCTTTTGGCTTTAACAGGGATATGTACGTGTTTACAGAGACTTATGAATTATCAGAATTATGTAATATTTATTCCCTTTATATATGTGTATACATATATTTATAAGTACTAGCATCAAACAGTGTTACTTGTTTATTTATTATTACTTCACAGTGAAGAACGAATGTCATGATGTCTGGAATCAAGCGGACAATCAAAGAAACCGACCCTGATTATGAGGATGTATCTGTGGCCCTTCCAAATAAGCGGCATAAAGCAATTGAGAATTCAGGTAGAAATTCACCTCCCTTAGGAAATTATTTATTTCTTTGTTGAGATCTGCCTCCCTATAAGATTTACAGAAACTAAAACAAAATGCATTTCCACTGCTGTATATAATTTGAAGAGGGATTAGTTAAGTGCTCTGTTAATAGCAATACACCATTTGTGACATAAGAGGCCAGGAAGACAATCAGGTAGACAGTGAAGTGTCAGTAATGAGACTGGCTGTAAGTTTTAGTTATCGTTGTGTGTTAGGTATAACCATAAAGTCCTATAATATGTATACTGCAGTGTGGTAGATGATTATAGGTGGTACATTGGGTTAAGTTTTTTATTGTAATTGTTGCATATTATTTTAATGTCTATTGGAAAGATGATGGTCTCATCAAACTTGTAATTTTGTGACTACTTTTGCTTAGGATGAGGCTAAAATAATGTAAAAATATTATTTAATTATGTTAATTAGGTGTTTCATAGGGTTCTCAGATGTGGTGTAGGTAACTTAAAGGTGGTATACGAATGATATACATTTGAGAAATAGTGATCTAGTTTAACTCCTGCACTTAGTTGCTAGTAGTTAAGGGGCATTAAACTACTTGCCCATATGGTTGAAGAGCAAATCATCAACTGTGTGTAGCTACCCAGAATGTTTTAAGCTCTCTCAGAAAAAGTTGCTAAATTTGAGTTATTTTATTTTATTTTAATTTTTTTAAATGTTTATTTTTGAGAGTGAGAACGTGAGTGGGGGAGGGGCAGAGAAAGAGGAGGACAGAGGATCCAAAGTAGGCTCTATGCTGACAGCAGAGAGCCCTATGCGGGCCCGAACTCACAAACCACAAGATCATCACCTGAGCCAAAGTCGGATGCTTAACCAGTTGAGCCACCCAGGTGCCCCTGAATTTGAGTTCTTAAATTATTGCTGAAATTCATTACTGTTTATTTAAATAGTAAGTCCATATAAGTTAACATTTACAGCTGTGTAAAGAAGCAGCCAAGTCATAAAGTGTTGTAGCTCCACAAAGATTAGTGCTGCTAGAATTGAAGTAGTGAAAGAAAATTCCTGTCTCTCTCAGTGCAGTCAAGTCATATGTACCACAGAAAGTCTTTGTGGACCAAAAATTATCAAATTGAATTCCAAATAATGAAACCATTTCATTCACTGCAACCTTTCCCCTCATTCAGTTGTAATTTTATTTATAAGGAAAAGTCATTTCCTTTCCGTAATAAGCCAAATAAATGTGAAACCTATATCCATTACTCAAATGCATCACATGGCATAACTTTTTTTTTTTAAGAAAACTAAGAGTAGGAAAAACTGATTGTTTTAGTAAACATCATAATTTCAGTTTAAATCTAGTGTAAGTTCCCAGATACTCAGCCTAAGCAGGGATGGTTTTTTCTTACCGTAAGACAGTTTGCTACTCTTCTTTTTGATGTCCATACTCTCTGCCTAATCCCAAGCCATGTTTTTATTTTTTCAGAATTTTTCTCAAAGTAGATTTGGTAGGATGCTTCCCTTTGCTTATATTGTTTTGTTTGTTGTTTGTGTTTTTATTTATTCCATGAAAGGGATAATTTAGAAGCATTTCTTTCTGAGGAGCTTATGATAAAATAGCCTTCAGTGATCACAGTTTCTGACTTTTCAGCCTTCCCTAAGAGTATCTGCTGGTTTCTACAGACAAGGACATATATATAATAATACTAGAAAATACTTTTCTTTTTCATGATGAGAAATATCAGTCATTTGCTTCCATGCAGACATATCCACAAGAATGCTCTCTTATTCCATTACTAGTATACATTGAAGTTTAATGGCAACATTGAAGTTGCCATATAATGGCATGTTTTACAATGAGAAAGTGATATGGCCATCAGAGTATCCAAATTTTCTCTGCAATTTTTCATATACTTCAAAGCATGGGTGAACATCATTTTTTCATGTTATAAACACAGAATCCTTTTGCAAAATTCCAGGTTTTTTTTTCTTTTTAAAGATTTTATTTTGAAGTAATCTCTCCACCCAAAGTGGGGCTTGAACATAATTACAACCCCAAGGTCAAGAGTTGTATATTCTGTTGACTGAGCCAGCCAGCTGCCCCCAAATTCCAGGTTTTTCAAGCAGTCATTTGGCTCTTTTTTTTTTTCTCTTGTATCTGATATTTTAGACTCTGAGTTGCATATTATTTTGAGTAGTCATCATCTGAATTCTATCACATTTAGAGGCATTTTCTTTTTTTCTTTCCTTTTCTCTTTCTTTGTTTAAGTTTTTAATACCTGTTTAAATTTTTTTTTTTAACGTTGATTTATTTTTGAGACAGAGGCAGAGAGTGAACGGGGGAGGGTCAGAGAGAGGGGGACACAGAATCTGAAACAGGCTCCAGGCTCCGAGCTGTCAGCACAGAGCCCGACGCGGGGCTCGAACTCACGGACTGCAAGATCATGACCTGAGCCGAAGTCGGCCACTTAACCGACTGAGCCACCCAGGCACCCCTAAATACCTGTTAACACATAGTGTATGTTTGTTTGTTTTTTTTCAACATTTATTTATTTTTGGGACAGAGAGAGACACAGCATGAACGGGGGAGGGGCAGAGAGAGAGGGAGACACAGAATCAGAAACAGGCTCCAGGCTCTGAGCCATCAGCCCAGAGCCCGACGTGGGGCTCGAACCCACGGACCATGAGATCGTGACCTGGCTGAAGTCGGACGCTTAACCGACTGCGCCACCCAGGCGCCCCAACACATAGTGTAATACTAGCTTCAGGAGTAGAAGCATTTTCTTTACTTTTGAATTCTTTATTTGCTTATTCCTTTATGTAGTTGTGATCAGAAACTGCTGAATTGCTTTCCATATCCTTCTCTACAGAAGGAAGCTACATGCCTTTTTATGAACTGCTCTTATATCACAGACTGCCTCCCCTCTAGCTAACTGTATTTTCTTTGTCCTTGGACTGTGGTTTTTCACAGGTCAACAAATGTTTCTCCGGAATTTTAATAGATTTCATTTTTTTTTCCCCAGTAATTTTATTTTGATACAATTCCAAACAGAATAATTGAAGGAATACTTGCATGTCTTTTATCCAGATTAATTTGCCAGTTGTTTATATTTTTGCCTTATTTGATTTATCAGTCTTTCCCCCACCCCAAACACACACACACACACACACACACACACACAAACACACACACAGTCGTGCAAATGCATGCATTCAGGTATATATGCACATCATTCTTTTTAAATCATTGGAGAATAAGTTGGACACCTGTAAACACAGTGTTATTTCCTAAGGAGATTCTCTTATGTGATCATAGTACTATTATCAGAAGCAGGAAATTTTAACATTCATCCATTACATTGTGTAACCTATAGTCCATATTCAACACTTGAATAACAGGGACTAGTTGTCCCTGTATTGTATTTTATAGTATTGTATTGTATAGTATTGTATTTTATAACTGTTTTCCCCTCTCCAGGATCCAGTCCAGGATCACACAGTGCATTTTGTTGTCATATCTCTAATCTCCTCAACCTTTCTGTCTTTCTTGACTCTAATATTTGAATCATATAAGCCAGTTACTATGTGGAATATCCTTCAGTTAGGTTTGTTTGATGTTCCCTGTGATTAGATTTAGCATTTTTCACCAGAACGGCATAGAGTGATGACATTGCATTATGTTAGAAAACACATGAGGTCAGTTTGCCCTTGTATTAGTGATGTTAACTTTTCATCATTGATTAAGGTGATAGCCACTAGGTTTCTCCACTTAGGAGTCATTGTTTCTGGGGTTGTTCTATTGCATGCTGACTTAAATCAAGACAGTCACTGATTAATTAGACCTTGGATTATTTTATGTTCTTTTTGCAGCTCGAGATGCTGCTGTGCAGAAGATTGAGACTATTATTAAGGAACAATTTGCACTTGAAATGAAGAATAAGGAACACGAAATTGAAGTCATCGACCAGGTATAATGGTGATAATGGTGATATATTTAAAAAATGGTGAGAAATTTAAAAAAACAACAAAGCTATTGCAAAAAAAATCTATACATGATGAATTAAAAAAGATCTGTTGAGATAAAATTATGTTTTTTTTCCCTTTGCCGTTCTTTTAAAGAGTTTTCTCATTCTGGAAAAAGGCATTTTTTTTTTTTCTATAAATGAAACTGCAGGAAAACATAATGAAAAAAAATTACCTGAAATTCCATCCCAAAACATAATTCCTCTTTGCTCTTGTGCCCAGTTTCTTTATGGACGTTTCTCAGTGAATATGCATATATACACACAGGTGTTCATATTAACATGTCTATATTCTCTTGCAAACATTGGCTTTTGTCATTCTTTTCAATCCTTTGCCAGTTTGATAGGTAGAAATAGTCATGTTTTTGCTTTCCTTTGCTTATTAGAGAAATTGAGCTTTTGGTCATTTGTATTTCTTATTTTATGAAAATTTTTATGGTGTATCTCTTCTGTCATTTCCATTTTTTTAAATGAGTTAACATTTGTTTGTAGCGATTGATTGAGGCAAGAAGGATGATGGATAAACTTCGTGCCTGCATTGTTGCCAACTACTATGCTTCTGCAGGCCTTCTAAAAGTTTCTGAGGTAAGTTTTCCTCATATACAATCATTTCTGGCCATCCATATTTGTTGTATGAAGGGGAAATCAGTGTTAATGTGAAATTCCTGCCTTTGCAACGTATCTTGTATTGGCCTTCAGAATTCAAGAAGCCTCACCTCCCTTCCTGGGAAAATACATAAACTGTCAATAATCCCAAGTAACATTTTTTCCTTTTTATTTAATCCTTTTCCAACTAATATTCAGCACTGTTGCTAGGATTTGCAGATACAAAGTTGAATGAGACCCTGTTCTTGCCTTGTTCTTCATTTGGTTATGGTCGGCTTTGGAGCAAATTATAGGTAGATTGATTTTCCTAATGAACAGCAATTTGTAGTTTCAGTATATATACCTTATTCAGGAAACCCTGATTTTTTTTCCCCAGTCTTTATGAAAAATTTCAAGTACACTGAAGAGGTGAAATAAACACCTGTTTATGCATGCTTAGATTCCATATTTTAACATTTTGCTTTATTTATTTTTCTCTAGAACATTTGAAAATAAGTTCCAGGCATCATGACACTTCACCCCCAAGTACTTAAATCATTTATTTCCTAAAGGACATTCTTTTGTGACTTCCTGATATTATTTGATAACCAGTCCATATTCATATTTTCCCAGTTGTCCCCAAAATATCTTTTAAAGATTAAAAAAAATTTTTTTTAATGCTTGTTTATTTTTGAGAGAGAGAAGCGTGCACGCACACACATGAATGGGGGAGGGGCAGAGAGAGAGGGAGACAGAATCTGAAGCAGGCTCCAGGCTCTGAGCTGTCAGCACAGAGCCCGATGCGGGTTTCGAACTCATGAACTGTCAGATCATGACCTGAGCCAAAGTTGAACACTTAACTGACTGAGCCACCCAGAGCCCTGTCCCCAAAATATCTTTTAAAGCTTGTTTTTGACATGGGATCTAAGGTTCATGGGCTACATTTGGACATTTTGTTTCTCTAGACTCATTTCATCTAAAATACTTCTTTTACCTTTTCCCCATGATATTGACTTATTTGAAGAGAATAGTTCATTTATGTTTATAGGATATCCCACATTTTGGGTTTATTATTTTTTCCCCTTGGGTTATTCCTTCATTCCCTCTATTTTTTTGCAAACTGGTAGTTGGGTCTAAAGATTTTATTAAAGTTAGAGGTTTTTGGCAATAATACTTCCTAAGTGATTCTGTATACCTCATGATTATATCACATCAGGTGACATAGTAATCAGGTTGTCCTGTTGTTAAAGATATTAAGTTTAACCACTTAGTTAATGTGATTACCACTAGATTGGTCCAGTTATAAAGGAATGGGGATAGGGTTCAACTGAAACAGAAGTTCTTGTTTGACAGTTTGATAATTTCAGCATAACTTTTCATTTTTCATTTTAAAATTTCTTTTTCATAAGTTTTCTCAGATCATTCTCTTGGACAGTACTGGCTCAGTGAGAATGGTGGCACGGCTGGGGAAGGTGTGACGGCATACTGCTTTCTTTGCATTGTTCTCCATGGTTTTTACAGATAAGAGGTGCTGTGTTTTGGCTTTCATGTCATCCTGTGGAGCTTAGGGTACCTGGCATTGGTGGTACTCCTGACATTGTCTTGGAGAAATCTGGAGCATTATTTGAGTTTAATCTTAGGTAGTTGTTTCTTCTACTTTAGGAATTTCCATAATGCATATTAGAGCCTAAACTATTTTTTAATTTTTTTTCTAAATGTTTATTTTTGAGCGAGCACATGCTCGAGCTGGGATAAGACAGAGAGAGAGGGAGACATAGAATCCACAGCAGACTCCAGGCTCCAAGCTGTCTGTACAGAGCCTGACGTGGGGCTCGAACCCACGAACCATAAGATTTACGACCTGAGTTGAAGTCAGACCCTTAACTGACTGAGCTACCCAGGGGCCCTGAGCTATTTTTTTTAGAGCTATCATAACAAATTACCACAAGCTTGGTGGCTTAAAACAAGAGGAATTTACTATCTGTTGATTGTGGAGACTAGCAGTCCTAAGTCAGGGTGTTGGCTGGACCATGTTGTCTCTGAAGGCTGTAGGGAAGAATCCTTCTTTGCCTTCGCCTACCTTCTGACAGTTGCTGGCAAACCTTGGCATTCCTTGACTAGTGGCTACATCACTGTAGTTTCTGTATATCTTCACATGGATATTTTCCCTCTTGTGTGTCTTCTTAGTTTCTCTCTGTCCACATTTCCCTCTTAACTAGGTAGGCCCTAAAGCAGTATGATTTCATCTTAACTTGATCATATCTGCAAAGAGTCTATTTCCAAATAGAGTCACCTTCAAAGTTCAGGGTGCATATGAATTTTTGGGAGATGCTCTTCAATGCAGATTTTAAAGTCATTTCTTATAAGATAGCAGCTGCATGGTACGGGGCTTATTCTGTCTGAAGAGGTGGTTGTCCATTTAATGTTTTGTTGCCTTTTTTTTTTTTTTTTTTTAAACCATTAGCAGTTCTGAACTGTTATTTGGTGGTCTAGAAGTACACTGATTTTTTTTTTTTGCTGTTCTGATTAGGATTTATTCAAGGATATTTAGGTGTATTTTTGTCTATTACGATCTGCCATTTAATTATTTTTAGTTTGCTGTAACAAAATACATCACAGCTCTAAAAAATACCCTTTATTATTGAGATTCAGCAGTTTTGTTGCTTTGAAATCCTAGTCTCTGACTCCTTTTCTCTCACTAAATGATTTTAATAGCACGGTTTTTAAAAGCTGTGCTGCCTAGGAACTGTAGAGTGAATCACATTATAACAGAGTACACTGTATTTTGTATCCAAGTAACAAGATACACAAAAATATTCCAGGCTTCAGTATTGGTCTGATAGCAAATATATGTAAGTATTAATCATTTACAGCATTCTATGCTACATTTTACTCCTGTGTGGGAGCCATTTTACATACACATTTAAAAAAATCTTTATGTCTCTTACAGGAATGTTTTATTTAGACAGTTGATGAGTTTGTGTTAAAGCATTGTGAGACTAATTTTTTAAAAGTCAGATCTTACTTTCTATATGTTACTACCTATTCACCTTGATTTCTCATTTTCAGAGAACTTGCATTTTTAACTTTCAGTGTTAGGACCTTCACACAATTATTTATCACTTTCTAGTTTTTGTTTTGTTGACCCAGACCACGTTAAGGAGCTTGGACTTCGTTTTATGGGTGTGGGGAGACTTTGAAGAATTTTAAGCATGATTCCTAAATAGATAAGGTTTTAGAAAGATTAAAAGTTTAATTTGCTTGCTTTCATTTTTGCAGGGATCAAAAACATGTGATACAATGGTTTTTAATCATCCTGCTATCAAGAAATTTTTGGAATCACCATCTAGGTCATCCTCTCCTGCCAATCAGAGATCAGAAACACCATCAGCCAATCATTCAGAAAGTGATTCTTTATCTCAACACAATGACTTCTTATCTGACAAAGACAATAACAGCAATATGGATATAGAGGAAAGACTCTCAAACAACATGGAACAGAGACCAAGTCGAAATACTGGAAGGGTATAGTTGGATGGGTGGGAGGGAGTCAGAGGAGAAGGGAACTAGTATTTTCTAAGTATGTATTATTTCATTTTCTCTTCATAAGAACCCTAGGAAATAAGTCAATTATATCTCTTTTGGAGATGGGGAAGCTGTCTTGAAGAGGTTAAAGTTCTGTTTGCCCACAAGTATCAGAATTGAGAATTAAACTTAATTAAGCTGAGAAACTGAATCAGAACTGTGTACCGCACAACTCCTAGATGCCATCCACATAGATATGAGAGAAACCTTGAGGAGTTGGCAATTCTGTGACCTTGTCCAAAGTCTTTCCATTCTGTCATATGTTTTATTTTCTTTTCAGCATTTTCCTTTGTGGAACTTTAATGCTTTAAAAACTGGGGGAAACTTGACAAATAATAAATAGAATTGAAAACCATTTATTCTTCTTTGATCCTGCCAGTTTCTTATTTGAGTTCCTGTATCAAACTGCTCTGAATTTCTCGGTATATATAATATTTGGCTATAGAGCCCTTACTGGATGATTTTCCTAGCCAGGGGTTCTGTGGTAGAGGAAATCTCCAGGTTGCTTTTCACATACTCAGACATCAAGGATTTTATTTATTTATTTTTTCAATTTTTTTTTTAACATTTATTTATTTTTGAGCGCCAGAGCACGAATGGGGGAGGGGCAGAGAGAGATAGGGACACACAGAATCCGAAGCAGGCTCCAGGCTCTGAGCTGTCAGCACAGAGCCCGATCAATGCAGGGCTGGAACCCACAAACTGTGCGATCATGACCTGAGCTGAAGTTGGACACTTAACTGACTGAGCCACCCGGGTGCCCCAGATTTGC